CTGGCTCCCGCCGGCTGAGTGGGGCGTGGAGGCAGCCTTGGCCGGGGGGGGGGGGGGAGTGGAGATGGGGCTGGCCGCAGGAGCCAGTGCAGAGACTGCAGGGAAGGGGAGCCTTGGCAGCTAGATGCCCAGAAGTCCCCTTCCGAATTTCCATCTACTTCCTCATCCTCCTCTAATTAAACCTGCCTTTTCTCAAGCACCAGAGCTCAAGGTTACATAAAAAACTATTTTTACTATTTTTCATTGCAAATATACAGTATTTCAGCTACATTACATGTTCAATAGAGTTTTGTGAGCTAGCCTGGGAACCTAACTAGCATTTATCACATTGTTTCAATGGGAAAATGTGTTCTGAGTTCCAAACAAGCGACTTACAAATGAACTTTGGGAACACAACCTGTTTATAAGTTGGGGACTTCCTGCACTGTGTTGAAATGCTAACTACTTTAAAAAGAGAAAGAGAGAGAGAGAGAGAGAGAAGCAAAACAGCTTTTTTCTTTTGTATTATTAAACATCAAAGCTGTACTAAAGTCAATGTTCAGTTGTAAACTTTTTCAAGAACGACCAGAATGCTTTATTCAGAGTTACGAACCTTTCTGAGTGATGAACAACCTCCTATTCCCGAAGTGTTCATAAATGTGAGGTTCCACTGTCATGTTTCATAACCCTGAGTTTGCCGGAATGGGTGAGCACTTTAAGATCTGCATTTTCCTGTTCCCAGCACTGCAGCAGGCAAACCATTGCATCTCTCAGGCAAATATTGGTCTCTTTGCTCCTATATGGCCCCCAATCTGCCATTGTCACGCTACCCAGCTTTTAGCAATATGGCTGTGTCTTTTTTCAACAAAACTCTTCCACCCTCTCCAAGCAGTGTTTGCTTTTTCGGCAGGAGAACTGTTCACACTATTACTTGTTCTGGCAAAACTATTGTTGTTCGGGCATTTTTTTAATCATGTGTGAACAACAAAAGCTTTGTCACTCAATTGCCAGTGTAGACAAAGCTTCAGGTCAGGCCTCTAGGGCAGTGGTGCCCAACGCGGTGCCCGGGGGCACCATGGCGCCTGCCAGGCCATTTATGTGCGCCTGCAGAGCAATCTGGGCTGGCCCCGCCCCCGGGCGTGTGGCAGGTGCCAGCTGCGGGTGCATGGGCGGCCTCTGCCCCGGGGTCGCGGCACATGCCGGTGCTGGCCCAGGGCGTGCGGTGCCTGGGTGGCCCCTGCCTGGGGTCGCAGCACATGCCGGTGCTGGCCCTGGCCCCGGGTGCGTGGCACATGCCGGTGCCAGCCCCGGGCATGTGGCACCTGGGTGGCCCCTGCCCGGGGTCACAGCACATGCCGGTGCCGACCCCAGGCACACGGTGCCTGGAAAGCCCCTGCCCGGGGTCACAGCACAGGCTCATGCCGGCCCTGGCTCCGGGGTCGCGGCACACTCCGGTGCTGGCC